TTCCTAGTCATTTCATGAACACTTACCCACCACTTTGTGTCATACCCAGCAAGGCATTAGGAAAACAAAAGATGAAGTATATACCTTTGAATCAGAAGAGCTCAGAGTGAAGTAGAGGGAGGAGACACAAATAAGGAAGCAAATATAGAAATAAACACTAAGACAGGGATATGCACAGAGTCCAGCTGGAGCCTAAAGAGAACAAAAACTTTCTATGAAGGTTCAGAGCCTAGGTTTTTAAGTCACATAGACTTGAATCTGATTCTTAACTCTACCTCTTAAAGAATTGCGTGACATAGGAGTCAAGGTTTTCTCATTTGTAAAATGGGATAAAAATCATTTCAACTGTTCCTTGTTGGGAGTACATGAAACAAAGTGCTTAGTTTAGCAATACATGAGGAACATTCAATAAATGGTGTATGATATTCATAACAAGGAGGCAGCTAGACTATGTAAGGCTTCCTGGAGGAGGTGACTCTTAAATTCAGTCTTAATCAATGAACAGGAAGGGGAAGGAATCAAGATGGAACCTTAGAGAAAGCTTAAGTTTCCACACTAGCATTAAGAACTTTTCATAATCCAGTCTACCTCAGCAACTCCATCTCCCTTCACTCTCCTAAATGAACCCCCCCTTCTATCCAGGCTGGTATACTCACTGACCTCAGAATATGCTTTACTAATTTTCTCTTTTCTATTACTGCTTAGGCCATACCCCTGCCTGTGCCTGGCACTGGTCTGTCTATAAGACCAACATAAATTCTACCTTGTAATTGATGAGTCTGGCCCTTATCAATGGCTCCATTCTTCGGACTTTTCCAGCACAAGGTCAGATTTACACACTCCCCGCCATACTTCCTCTGTCCTCTGACAACATACATGCTCATCATAGTCCTTAACCATCCTTTGCACTGAGATTTCACTTTTCACATGTGAATGTAATGTCTCCATTGGAATGTAAATTCCATGAGGGTAAGACTTCATGCAAGCAAGAGACAGATATAGCATCTTAGTCTCGGATCTATTTGGTACATGAATGAACAGTTCAGAAAACGTAACAACAGTCTCAAGGTCAAATGCAAAGCACATGACCAATCTGTAGAGACTTAAATGCTTGGACTTAATGGGGTTTCTTGTTTTTAGGTTCTTACCTTGATATGCCCTCAGCTCTATCAACAGCAAACTATAAAAACTTTCCACTGTGGACTGCGCGAGTCATTTAAGATGCTTCAAATCCTTAAGGCGTGATATAATCAAATAAAGGCCAGGAGAAAGGTTGGCAGTCAACTCCTTAGACATGGCTACTATATTGGAAGGTAATATATGAAATAGTAGAATCAATAGGTCTAGGTTAAACTTACCAGCTTTAGAACTTGGACAAATCCCTAACCTCTCTGAGAGATCATTTCCTCATCTAATAATGTGGATGAATCACTTAGCACTCAGGGTTGCTATGAAGATTAAATGAGTTAAAATATAAAGTAACTAGCACAGTGCCAGAAATGTAATACCCCCCAATTATTCACTACTAAAACATCATACCAACCCAGGACCCTCTGCAAAAAAAGTAGAAAAATAGAGATTCTCTTCCTTCTTTAGAGATAATATATCAGGAGCAACCTGCTGAAACTCACTGAGGCCTCAGTCCTGAACAAGGAATCCTAATGTCAACATCCAGCGGGTCACAAGTTTGTCTTTATGGCCAATCTCTACCTGTTACAGTGGGGTGGGGAGGTGGGGGGAGCTAGATTAGATTCTTGTGATACTTCTTAGAGTGACTGGGTCTTTTCAAAATTAAGAACTCTTAATTTGATAAAGGACAATGTGGGAGGCTTAGAGACTGTAATCAAGCTGAACTCCCACAGAAAGAAAAAAGATCAACAGTGTTCCATAAAGGATAAAAGGTGAACTCTTCAAGCCTTTGAAGCCATTTAAAATTGTGACCACTGCCTCTGACAATTCTTCAGATCACCCACTGTTAGTCCAAAATGGCAGGAATCATAAAATAACATGTGGAATGGGCCAAAAAAATCATCAACTCTTGGAAGTGGAAGACACCTCCAAAGTCATCCAGCCTAAGTGTGGCCTTAAACAGTTGAGGAGGTAGGAATAGGAGAGATGCCATGCTACATGCCAAGCTTCTTTCTGCCTCCCCAGATACTCACTTCTTTGTCATAACTTCCCCAAGATTTCATTCTTTCCCTTGCAGTAAGCATGATCAGACAGAATAAGTTCATTTACCTTACAAAATGGGCCCAAACACTGAAAATATCCCAAGACTCTTGCCCTTGGCAGAACACAGGTACAAAAGTGCAAAAGAATATTCATTTTTTTGTTGTTGTTAGCTGATTAAACTATCGGGTCTCTGCATAGGAAGTTGTACATAAAGAGTGACAATGTTGCCTACAAACAGAAATGCATATTTAGAACTAGAGGCTTTTCATATTTCTTCTACAGAACAAAAGATCTCTATAAGCCTACCGAAATTAGTGGAAGTTTCTGGTGGTGATAAATGACTTCTTCCCTCAAGATGACACCGGGAAGAAAAGCTGAATCAGAATGTGAGACTTCTTAGAAGTACAACATACCAGGTAACTAGTTTTGAGAGGTGATAAACAGAAACTTGAAATATTCTCTTGTTAACTGAAGCAAGCAAACGTCAAACGACTGTTTTTACCCCAGTTCAATCCTAAATTTGTGGCTCTATTCTCCTAAACTCTTAGGTTTATCAACCTATATGAGTAAGACATGAAAATACTCAGGAAAATTCAAGGAGTCACCTGATGAATAAATATTCATTGTGAATAAACACACATATACTATAGAAACTAAACTACTTGGAGGGAAATATATTAGCTAGATATAATTATTCTTCTTAAGGAGTACCACGAAGTTTGTTCTAACTCCAATGATTCAGAAAAATGTCAACACCAGGAACTTTACGTCTGCAAGATCAAGAGGATCAGAAATTTTCGCAAATGGTGAGCTGAACATTAGTCAACCCTGCTATGCAAACACCAAAAAAATGTGAAGTGATATTACACTGAACTTTAAAAAAATATTCAGTGACTTGAACACACAAGATAGTATCAGAGTACTGCTCTGCTGTAGTCAGGAGATCCTGGAAATATTGTGGATGCCACAGCAAAAGAACCATGTCAAAGTACGTGAAATTCTTAAGAGACAAGAATTAAATCCCAAATCACATCAAGGCAGCTAATATTATAATTAGGGATACCTAGGCTATAGAGGAAACAGACAAAACAGGAGCGGAACAACTTTAAATACTTGCAGGACAATCAGAAAAGGAACTAGCATTGTTTTAACTGGCCCTAGAGTGCCTATGGATGAAAAGTACAGGAAAGCAGATTTTTTGGGTTAACAATACTTTTCCGTATTAGCCTCAAAAGTCAATAAATATTAAGAGTGAGAGAACGAGAAATTTACATAAAATAGGAAAAATGAATCTAAAAGAACTGGCATACTGAATGAGCATTCAACAAACGTTTAGGAGCTCCTATGAAGCATGACACTAAATTATGCAGGTTAGAATGAATTACATTTCCATAAGTAAAGCTGACTTCCAATCTTGTGTAACAAGAAAAAAAGACAAAGTATGGATGATTCTGAAAGCTATATTTTATGAAGAATAGTCTATAAGTGGTGGTCAAGATATTGTGAAATTCCACATAAGGAAAGAGGATGGACTGTTGTAGGTAGTGGAGCTGCGAGCAAAAAGGAGCAGAAGATTTACAGAAACATTTCAGAACTAGAGCTCATAGTACTTGAAGAGTTACTGAAGACTCTTGGAAAAACAGTATTTAGCAGGATTTATTGTGCTAATCTAGCTATTCATCTATCAACAATAACAACAGTAGCAAACAAACAGTGCTTTCCAGGTGTCAGGCCATGTTCTGAACGTTTTACACAGATTAACTCATTTCATTCTCATAACCCTATGAAGTATATAGTCTATTAACAGGCACATCTTACCGATGAGAAACTAAGGCATAGCTTCTATCAGTAAAGTCAGTCAGACAACCAATGTCAAAGTTCTAGTAAGAGGTTAGATACCAGATAGATCTACATAATCCCAAAGCTAAAGCTCTTAATCCATACACTAGACAGCTGTAAAGGAAAGGCAACAAAACCAAGGCAGGCTGCACGTAAGTAGCGTTAAGAGCCCAGTGGAGAGAGAGCGTTGGTGGAAACAGGGGGGGCTCGAGGGGAAAGCTGACTGAGGACTAAGTGAGGATTTAGCGGTATCAGAGTCACAGGACGTGGTTTTTTAAAAAAAAGAAAGAAAAAAAAAAAACCCAAACAAACAAAACCTGCATTGAATCCAAATTCCTAGAGATGGGACCTAGGAATTAACATTTTTTTAAAAAGATTTTATTTGGAATTAACATTTTTTTTAAAGCAAAACCGAGAAACCCTGGGTAATTTTGAGGCACAACCAGGTTTGAAAAGTGCTGTAGCAAATCTCTAAGGTTTCTTTCCGTTTTAGCATTCCAGTTGACACTCTAATTTCCCAAAAACGGAAAGGAGGAGGGAGGGATTTCTTGCACAACGGAAAGGAGGAGGGAGGGATTTCTAGCACCAAGAAAACGGCTATGCATTCACTCAACACCGTTTACGCTCCCATTTTTACTAAAAAGTCTCTCACAGGAAAAGGGATAAAGTAGGCAACGGAAGGAGGGGTGTGGTGTTAAAAAGCAGGCTTTGGGGCAGAACTTTCTAGGCCTATTAGCACGCGAAACCTTCCTGACTATAAATACATGCGATAATCCGACTGAAAAATGAGGTGGATTCCTCAGATCCGGGTCGGGCTAACGATGGATGCCAATATAGTCTTCTACGTGCTCAGAGCGTTGCAGGGAACCTCTTAGGCTGGGACCTGCCGGCTCCAAGGCCAAAGGAATCGCGCTCAGCAGGAGAGGTGTCCGCTCTGCAATTACAACCTCAAGCACCCTGCTCCCGGAGACGACCTGTGCCGCACATACCCGAGGGTCCTCTGGTAAGATTGATTTCCTCCTCAGTGACAAAATAATCCACTCTTCCGTTCATGTCTCACTGCTCTTTTGGCTTCCCACCTGGGTCGGCGGGGACTCACGCAAGTGAAGGTGAACCAATCTCCGCGGGGCGCCCAGAGCACCGCACTTTCGGTTTCAGCAGCCCGCAGACCGGAAGGGGAAGCCGGGAGCGCTGGGAGCGCAGGGCATGCTGGGAGTCGTGGTTTCCCGGCTTCTCTCGTCCACCCGCGCCACGCACTGCGAGCTGAGCGGCGAGTCGGTTACCGTCCTACCTTACCGTTGGGGGCGGGGGTCGTAAAGGTCGGAGACACAAATTAATTGATATTGGCGAGGAGAAATTAAACATAAAATCGCCTGACATCTCAGAAAACCGCTACAAACATGAGGGAAAAAATAAGTTCTGTTATTCAGATTAGGAGGGGCGTCGCAGGCAATCCGTTAATGCGACTCCAGAGGAGATCTCACCCTTTTATAGAGCCAGGCAAATACAGTGCATTCCATGCACGTTCTCGTGTAAGAGGACTTAACACAGTTTGCTGTATACATTCTTCGGTATGTCACCCCTGCGGTGGCCGCCTGTGTTAGTTAATTGCCACGGTCCAAAGGAAAAATAAAACTATGACAAGCAGGTACTTAAAGCTTTGACTCATGCCACCCTCACTTCCAAGCCTCCTCAACATGTTGATTGAGTGGATAAAATGATCATAATAAAAAGCAGTATATCGTAAGTGAAAAAAGTAAAGTATAAATAAGTGAGAATGGAATATCAAGAGAGAAGAGAGGAAATAGAAATGGGAAAAGCAAATCATCAATGAAGAAATATGAAACGAATAAACAAAACAGAGAAATAGACTCATAGATAAAGGAAAAAAACTGTTGGTTAACAGTGGGAGGGATTGGGGGGTGGGCAAAATAGGTGAAGGGGATAAAGAGGTACAAAATTCCAGTTATAAATAAGTAAGTCATGGGGATGTAATGAATATAGGGAATATAGCCAATAATATTGTAGTAACAAACCATAGTGAGGTGCATGTGAGCACCGAGTCAAGGGAGAGGGAGACAGGAGTGAGGCCAAGAGAAGGTAGGAAGGGGGCCCCATAGGCCCCCTAGGGGTCACCCTCACAGTGGTACCTCCACTTTTCCAGTGACTGTGGAGACCTACTAGGCCCTAACCTTTTGACCCCCACCCCATCCCTGGCCAGGGCTTTGAACACCAGTCCCAAATCGTTCTACCCTTCTTTGCTCCATCTTCATTTGCGCAGGCTTCCAGCCTCACGCTTCTCGTCTTCCACACTCTTCTCTGTGATTAGTAGCACGTTAGGGTACTGTGTGAGCCGCAGAGAGGCCGGGAGCCAGGAGGCAGGATGGAGATGGGGCAAAGAGAGGAGAAGAGTTTGTTCAAGGATCCTTCTCCTCACGGGATCCCAAACTGTACAACCAGCTCCTCTTCTGCCTCCGCTTGGATCTGAGAGAAAGTGCCCTGTAGGCATAAACAGCTATCATGGAAACCTGCTGCAAGTCAGAGAAGGGGATGGGCTCGTTGGCCAGCTCTTGGTTGGGGCTGGCTGGTGAGAGATGGCAGCCATGGCAGCTTCTTCCAGTGGGTCAGGCTGTGGCTCAGCACAGCCAAGCGGGTGCTTTAGTGCTTCATGCCCTGGGAGTCCGCAGCAGACACGTCAATGATGTTACTGGCTGTCTTAGCAAGGCTGGAGGAGAGCAGGGCCTGCTCATCTGTGCGAGTGGGAGGCAGGCTGTGGTAGTTGGGTTCAGCTCCTTTGAGGGCTTTGGCAGGGGGGCTGCTAGGATCCAGCAGCAGCTTCCGCTCCTCTTGGTCCTGGTCCGAGTACTTGTTCTCGCTGCTGTAGCAGCACCCCATAGCTGGGGTCCGGTTGGGCGCTCAGGCCAGGGGAGGAGGGCCGGCATCCGTTAGGATTCCTTCAGTCACATGACCTGTGGCTGCATCCAGCAAGCAGCCACCCGCCTCCGCACCTAGCCCTTCCCAGAGCCACGCAGTTGCCCTTGTTCCTCTATGTTTTAAAGTCTATTTTGTGGTAAGTGAAATAAGTGAATCAGAGAAAGATGATTATCATATGATCTCACTGATATGTGGAATTTAAGAAACATAACAGAGGATCATAAGGGAAAAAATAAAACAAGATGAAATCAGAGAGGGAGACAAACTGAAAGACACTCAATCATAGGAAACAAACTGAGGGTTGCTGGAGGGGAGGCGGGTGGAGGGATGGGGTAACTAGGTGATAGACATTGAGGAGGGCACGTGATGTCATGAGCACTGGGTGTTAGATAACACTGACGAATCACTGACCTCTACCTCTGAAACTAATAATACATTATATGTTAATTAATTGAATTTAAATTTAAAAATAAGTAAACAAAGTCTATTTTGTCTGATATGAGTATTGGTACCTCAGCTTTTTTATTTTCACTTTTGTTTGCATGGAATATCTTTTTCCATAAGTTTCAGTCTATGTGTGTCTTTAGGTCTGAAGTGAGTCCCTTGTAGACAACATACAGATGGGTCTTTTTTTTAAATGTATTCAATCACCTTATGTCTGTCTTTTGATTGTGGAGCATTAGACCATTTACATTTAAAGTAATTAATTGACAGGCATGTACTTTGTTGCCATTTTGTTGTTTTCTGTAGTTGTCTGCTCCTTTTTCTTACTCTCTTCCCTTGTGATAGATGACTTTAGTGTTACGCTTGGATTCCTTTTTATTTTTTGTATATCTATCATAGGTTCTCAGTTTGTTACCATGAGGTTCATATATAAAATTCTAAGTGTGTAACAGTCCATATTAAGCTGATGGTCACTTAAGTTTGAACACATTCTAAAAGCACATTTATACTTCCCCCCTCCATGTTTTATATATATATATATATCATACTTTATATCTCTTTATGAATCCCTTTACTCATTTTTTGATATAATTGATTTTACTTTTGTCTTTCAACCTTCATGCTAGTTTTATAAGTGATCGATCTACTACCTTTATTATATGTTTGCTTTTACCAATGAAATGTTTTTATTTCATAATTTTCTTACTTCTAGTTATGGTCTTCTCTTTTCCACCTAAAGAAGTCTCTTTAACATTTCTTGTAAGACCAGTTTAGTGGTGGGCGCCTGGGTGGCTCAGTTGTTAAGCGACTGCCTTCGGCTCAGGTCGTGATCCTGGAGTCCCGGGATCGAGTCCCACATCAGGCTCCCTGCTCAGCAGGGAGTCTGCTTCTCCCTCTGACACTCGCCCCTCTCATGCTCTCTCTCTATCTCATTCTCTCTCTCAAATAAATAAATAAAATCTTTAAAAAAAAAAAAAAAAGACCAGTTTAGTGGTGATGGACTCATTTAACTTTTGTTTGTCTGGAAAATTCTTTATCTCTTCCTCAATTAATGATTAATTTTTCATTTCAGTTATTGTTTGCTTCAGCTCTGACTGGTTCTTTTTTTTATATTTTCTATCTCTTTACTGAAGTTCTCATCAAATTCATTCAGTCTTCTCTCATGTGGTGAGCATCTTTATGAACATCACTTTGAATTCTTTATCAGGTAGATTGTTTTTCTCTATTACATTAGTTCTTTTTCTGAAGTTTTGTCTTATTCTTTCATTTTGAGTATATTCCTCTAACTCTTCATTTTGTCTGACCTTCTGTGTTTGTTTCTGGGGGTTAGGCGAAACAAACCTCTGCCAGTCTTGAGGGAGTGGGTTTGTATGGGAATATCCACTGTGTAGACTACACATGCCTTTTGACTTTGACTGACTGGTTGGAGCTGTGGTGGGCTCGGGCTGGGTGATTCCAGGGCACTCCACACTAGGGCTACCCTGGAGGGGCAGCTGGAGCTGAAGTGGGCATGAGCCAATGGATCCCAGGGTGCTTTGTGCAAGGGCTGCCCTGGTAGGACAGCTGGGGCTGGAATAAGTGTGGCACTCCATGCAGGAGGCACTTTGGGGAATGGCTGAAGCTGAAGCAGGCATGGGCTTGGGGTGTTCTGGGATGTTGTGTGCCTGGGCTGCCTTAGTGAGTCAGCTGGAGCTCGAGTGGGCAGAGGCCAGGGGTGTCCTGGTGTGTTCCTTGCCAGGGCAGCCATGGTGGGAAGGCTGGAGCTATAGGAGGCATAACCGGGGGCATAGCCACTTTTGTGGAACAGCTGAAGCTGGTATGGGCTAATGGCCCAGGGCCCACTGAGGGAGCAGACTAGCTAGAGCGCCCAGTCGCTGCTCCCATCTGCACTATCAAAGTGGAGGGACAATGTAAACAGTGGTGCTCACCAGCAGCTCCAACCTCAGAGAGAGTTCCAATACTTCCCCAACTGTTTGGTGTACACTCAAGGATTCATAAAGGGGTTTCCTTCACTTATAGTCTAATTGCCCTTTAAACCACTGTTTTTTGTTTTGTTTTTTTTTTGCTGTGTTCCAGCTTAGGTGAATCTGTGCACGGGCCACTCAGTGATATCCCACCCCTTACCCTACCCCGCAGTTCGTAGCACCAGGTGTGGGGTTTTGGTCATTATTGTGTCTCTGTCTCTTCTCTGTGTGGTGCCCCTATTCTTTGTTGTGCAGAGCTGTTTCTTCAGCCCTCAGTTCTTTCTCAGGAGGCATGACTCTGTATGTAGGTGTAGATTCTGCGTGTCTATGGGAAAAGGTGAGTTCATAGTCTTCCTACACCACCATCTTCAACCCTTCCTACATTACATTTTAGATGTGCAAATTGTGTCTTCCTATTCATATCCCCTGTACAGTGACAGTGGTTTTTGTAATAATCAAACATAGTGATTATTCACTAAATACTTGTTGAATGAATAAATAAGTTAATCGTCCTGGAACTGGACCAGAGAATATGTGACAGGATCAGTTTCTCACAGACCACTATGAACTGTTATCCTTGACTAGACTATAAGGTCCCTTCTCAGAATACCTTATTCCTTCTAAACCAGCTCTCCCCTCATGCCTACTCCCTGATGATAGTGCAGACTTGATCATCTTTTGGTTTCTGAAACTTAATTCTAGTGTCAGTCT